TCAAAACACAAGAACGACAACAACAACAACAAAACGAGACACATTTTTCTGCTTTCTAGGAGCTCAAAAGTGTTTAAGAGTAGGCCGGGGTTTCCCAGGCTGGGCACTGCTGACACTGCAGGCCAGTTCATTCGTTGCTATGAGGCTGTCCTGTACAGTGTAGGGTGCTGAAGCAGTGTCCCTGGCTTCCAGCCGCTAGATGCCAGTGGAACCCACCCCCGCAAGTGTGACAACCAAAAAAGATTTACAGACGTTACTAAATATTGCCTGGAGTGCAAACTCACTGGAGGAAGAAGCTCCCGGAGCCTGTACAAGGCAGCACTTTGCATACATTGCCTCATGGAATCCTGTGGGGGCGCTGCCAGCGCTCACTGGAGTGTCAGCTTTTCTCCCACGGAACTGAGTGATATTCAGAACTGGGCCCTTCCATTTTCCAGCCTGGGAAGATTAAAGGGGGGAATCCCAGGATTTAGGGAGATTAAGGGCATGAATTGGTCAAAGGCATACAGCGCCTAACCAGGATTTAGGACCAGGGACTCCAATACCCTTCTCATTGTGCTGCATTGCCTTCTAGTGGGAGGGCCAGGCATGACTGTGACTGGCATCTCACTTGCTTTTCTTTCTTTCCTTTTTTTTTTTTTTTTTTTTTCCATTTTTGAGTCTCACGCTATCACCCAGGCTGGAGTGCAGTGGCACAATCTCAGCTCATTGCAACCTCTGCCTACCAGGTTCAAGCGATTCTCCTGCCTCAGTCTCCTGAGTAGCTGGAATTACAGGCACCCACCACTACGCCTGGCTAATTTTTGTATTTTTAATAGAGATGGGGTTTCACTATGTTGGCCAGACTGGTCTCAACCTCTTGACCTCAAGCGATACGCCCGCTTTGGCCACCCAAAGTGCTGGGATTACAGACGTGAGCCACCGTGCCCTGCCCTCCCTCCCTTCCTTCTTCCCTTCCTTTCTTTCTCCCTTCCTCCCTTCCTTTCTCTCTGCCGTTTTCTGTCTTTTTCTTTCTTCTTAATATTTTGGTCTTCTTGTTTCCATTGGGGTTGGATGGCTTTCTTTCTTTCCTGTCTTTCCTCTTTCTTTCTTCTCACTCCACACCACGCAGGATTTGAGGCATTTTATACAAATACATAGCACAAAATGGAAAAGCAAATGTATAAAAATTAGAATTGGCCGTGCATGGTGGCTCATGCCTGTAATACCAATACTTTGGGAGGCCCAGACGGGCTGATCATGAGGTCAAGAGATTGAGACTATCCTGGCCAACATAGCGAAACCCTGTCTCTACTAAAAATACAAAAATTAGCCAGGTGTGGTGGTGCGCACCTGTAGTCCCAACTACTCAGGGGGCTGAGGCAGGAGCATCGCTTGAACCCGGGAGGTGGAGGTTGCAGTGAGCTGAGATCATGCCACTGTACTTCAGCCTGGGCGATAGAGCGATACTCCGTCTCAAAAAAAAAAAAAAAAAAAAATTCATGGAACATTATAAAGATGAAAGAAAACTAAGCCTAGGAAATAAAATGAAGTGGGCAGTGCTAGGGGAACACTTTAGCAAGTATTCAAGGCACTCAAGGCCAGATATTGCAGGTTTAACCGTAACCCCCCAGATCTCACATCTGGATGATGGCATCGGCCTCTTAATGGTGATCATGGCTGGAGGGAGAGAGGGGAGCACTCATTTACCCAGAACAGTGACTCACATGTAGTAGTGAATGGATTTAATTGTTGAATGAATGAACGTTTTGTAGAAAGACAGGAGAGATGGACCATTTTACCTGGGTCAGGGTGGTCAAGGCTGTCTCATTTGAAAGGGGCCTGTGGGTTGGTGGTGAGTGCAGGGCAAGTGCGTTGAGCTTCGTGAGCCTTGGTCCCTCCACCTGTGTTTTGGAGATGGTGAGGAAAGGACTAGCGCATCAGGCTGTTGAAGATTAATCAGAGAGGGCATGTGAGGCCTGACGCATGAGGTGAGGGGTGGCTAATTATAAAATGTCATTGGAAGCTGGGTGCGGTGGCTCACACCTGTAATCCCAGCACTTTGGGAAGCCAAGGCAGGCAGATCACGAGGTCAAGAGACCGAGACTACCCTGATCAACATGGTGAAACCCCGTCTCTACTAAAAATACAAAAATTAGCCAGGCATGGTGGTGGGCGCCTGTAGTCCCAGCTACTCAGGAGGCTGAGGCAGGAGAATCACTTGAACCCAGGAGGCAGAGGTTGCAGTGAGCCAAGATCGCGCCACCTGTACTCCAACCTGGTGACAGAGCGAAACTCCATCTCAAAACAAACAAACAAACAAGCAAATACTCACACACACACCCAGCAATCTCAATCCAAGAGATCCCGGAATGCCTCTTACCCTGTGAAACCTGGCAGAGCCCAGAGGTTTGGGTCAGTGCCCCTGCCGTGGGTCCCTGGCCTACAAGGCACCATGGGTACGTACATGTAGGTGCTAGATGCCACCTCACTGCCCATGCTCCATTGCCATGGGAGCACTGGGGGCAGGGAGAGGCCTTGTCAGTCGAAGTAAAGAGAAGACCCTAAAGAGCAAGTGGATCTAGGGGGGCTGATCTGAAGGGGAGACCCCTCCAAACGACCTCCCTCTGTCCTCCCTCCGAAAAATAACATTCCATAGAACGAGAAAGCCAGGAGAGATAGGCATAGGTCACCTGGTATGCCAGGTGGAAATGTCACCAATTTATTTGGGTCACAAAATTCTTTAAAAAGCAAATTAGGGCAGCCTGAAAGAGTGGAAAGAACACACGTTTCAGAGTAAGACAGACCTGGCTTCCACTGAAAGCTTCTTTCCTTCTTAGCTCAGTGTCTTAGAAAAATCATTACTATGCCTCTCTCCATCTTGGCTTTCTTTTCTTTCTTTCTTTTTTTTTTTTGAGACGGAGTCTTGCTCTGTCGCCCAAGCTGGAGTGCAGTGGCCAGATCTCGGCTCACTGCAAGCTCCGCCTCCCGGGTTCACGCCATTCTCCTGCCTCAGCCTCCCGAGTAGCTGGGACTACAGGCACCCGCCACCTCGCCCGGCTAGTTTTTTGTAATATTTAGTAGAGACGGGGTTTCACCGTGTTAGCCAGGATGGTCTCGATCTCCTGACCTCGTGATCCACCCGTCTCCGCCTCCCAAAGTGCTGGGATTACAGGCTTGAGCCACCGCGCCCGGCCTTTTGTTTTGTTTTGTTTTTTGTTTTTTGAGATGGAGTTTTGATCTGTCACCCAGGCTGGAGTACAGTAGTGTGATCTCGGCTCATTGCAACCTCTGCCTCCTGGGCTCAAGCAATTCTCCTGCCTCAGCCTCCCGAGTAACTGGAATTACAGGCGCTATGCCACCACACCCGGCTAATTTTTGTATTTTTAGTAGAGATGGGGGTTTCACCATGTTGGTCAGGCTGGTCTCGAACTCCTGACTTCAAGTGATCCGCTTGCCTCAGCCTCCCAAAGTGCTGGGATTACAGGCATGAGCCACTGTGCCCAGCCCTGCAAAAGACTTTTGATTGGTCTCCCTGCCTCAGCCCTGGTTCCATTCCATTATTCTCAAGCCAGACGGATCCTGTTGAAAGGGAAGTCAGATCCCAGCACTTCTTGGCTCCGAACCCTGCTGGGGGTCCTTTGCACCCACCATATCCCTCCCAGTTCTGATAAGGGCCTCTTTCCCAGCTCCCGCTCACCTGGCTGCGAAAGCACTGGCCTTCGTCCTGCTGCTCCTAGACCACATTGAGCTTAAGGGCATACCTGGGAGCAGGCCTGAAATGCTCTTCCCTGCCATGTTCTTCTCCTGGTTCTTGTCCTTTTGATAGCCTGACTATTCTGTAATTGTCCACCCCTCTCCTGGTAGATATTACCTTTTTTTTTTTTTCTTTTTTTTTTTTTCTCGAGAAGGAGTCTCGCGCTGTCACCCAGGCTGGAGTGCAGTGGTTGGATCTTGGCTCACTGCAAGCTCCGCCTCCCGGGTTCACGCCATTCTCCTGCCTCAGCCTCTCCAGTAGCTGGGACTACAGGTGCCTGCCACCACTCCCGGCTAGTTTTTTTTGTATTTTTTTAGTAGAGACGGGGTTTCACCGTGTTAGCCAGGATGGTCTCGATCTCCTGACCTTGTGATCCGCCCGTCTCGGCCTCCCAAAGTGCTGGGATTACAGGCTTGAGCCACTGCGCCCGGCCGATATTACCTTTTAATCCTCACCACAGCCCCAAGGCTGGGAGAGGTTAGGAAACTTGGCAGAGGGCAGCTGTCCCTAAGTGGTGGAACTGGAACTAGGAGCTAGCAGTGGCCTCTGTGGCCCCGGACTCCAAAGTCCCAGGCCTTGGGCTTGGCTGAGCCAGGTACGGAGGGAGGCACTTGGGGGAGGGGACTTCCACAGAGAAACCACCTGGGTCCTCAAATCTAGTGAGAGACAGAGAAGCAAATGGATAAATTACAGTGCCTGGCAAATGGTAGGCGCCAATAAATACGTTTTGTTGTTGAACAGATTATGAGCCTTAAGATGTGCAGACATTTCCGTGGGGCCTAAAGAAGGCACATGAGTGTATTAGAGGGAGCGAGGAAGGGGCTGGGAGAGATTTCCCAGTGAAGGGGGACATTTGAGGTAGACTTTGAAGGAAGGGTAGGAGTTTGCTAGAAGCCACGCGGCCTGGGGAGTAGGAACAGCATGGAGGAAAGAAGTCGAAAAGAAGTCGATGTGAGAAAATAGGTTTGGAGGAGCTCTGAATATTAGTGTTACAATTCCCTCAGGTACCCCAGGACCCCAGCCAGAGATCAGCAGACGGTACAGGAGGCTGGCCAGGCACCCCGGACAAGCTAAGGGGCTGCCAGCAGGTGAGGGGCCTAGCCGGTGCGGCAGCCTCGTTGGACAGCGAAGGTACCTCCTGCCCTCTAACCTTCTGCTAGCATCGGGACCATCCCGGTACCCACAGCCGGACCCGGACACCGGAGTCCTCTAGGGGCAGGGCGCCAGTGGCCTCTGCAGGCCCGTCCCTTGGTGAGGTCACACACAGAGGCGGGGCTCAGGATTGGGGGGCGGAATCATGCGCAGGGGGCGGGGCCCGAGAGAGAGCTTGGAGGAGACCGGAAGTCCCTCCGCCTCCGCCCGCCCTCGTGCTCCCTTCAGCCCCTTCGCAGCTCCGTGCGCAAGGTCGTGTCCCGGAAGTGAAGGGGCCATGTTGATGGGTGACCAGGAGAGAGGTACCCGGCCGGAGGCGAGTCCTGCGGAGTGGTAGCGCGCGCGGCCTGCGGGTGAGTGAGGGGAGGAATGAGGACCGGCGGCTGCTGGGTGGCCGGGAGGTTGCGGCCGCTCCTCTCAGGCTGCTGCCGGCGCCTCGCATGCGGCGCGGACCCAGAATACCGGCCTGCAGCCGGGGGTCTCGCCCCATCCCGCCCTGGGCTTTCCCCTGGGAGGCCCCTCGGCGGCCCCGCCCCGCCCCAACCTCGGAGACTTCCCGGGTCCCGGAGCAGGCCTGCCCTGGCCTCTGGGCCTCCGCACCCCGGCCCGGCCCCCAGGGTTGGGGAAGTGCAGACTGGCTGGGGCTCAGCCGCCCACTCTCCCAGCGACCTTGTAGTTACAGCCCTCGCCGTGACAGTCGCCTTTTGCCTTATCAAACACTTCTGTTGATTTTCTACATCGGAAGGCCGAGGGAGCTCTTAAACAGTTGAGGAAAAATGGACAGGGATGGTGGCTTGCTCAGGCTTGCGCAGGAAGTTAGCAAGGCCGGAGGCTAAGGGCTAGCGGACTTTGGGCCCAAAGTTCAATCTTTTTTTCCAGCCAAATACTTCCCCCACTCGGTGTCATTTCTTTATTTCTGAAACGGAGGTGATCATTTTTTTCCACATAGGGACGTTGTGAAATTCTCTCCTTCGTTAAACATAATTTTGAGCCCCTTGTATGTGCCAAGCGCTGTGCTAGGAAAAGTTCGTGGAGCACCCAGAAGTGCTGTACACATGGTCCGGCTCCAGCAAAGGGTAACTCATTCCAGAGGCAGGCAGAGTTGGGGTCAGGAGTGCAGCCCTCCCCTTGACAGTTTTGGGCCCGCGGGCAAGTTACTTCCCTCTGGGAGATTGTTTCCTCCACTTAAAATGGGGTAATGTTGACCCTAGGGTAGCTGACAGAATGAGTTGTTACGTGAGACATGCTTCAAACATTGCACATTGTGTATAGTGCAATAAGCATTTACTGTTACTAAGAACCCTGACCACCTCCTAGATTGTTAGTGTAAATGTGACAATGGGCAACAAAGCACTTTACAGATACGCTTGTGTAAGGGTTTATTGTTACTGAAGGAAGGCAGTGGCAGTTTATACTTAAATGTAATTGTTTATTGAGCATCTACAAACCTGGCTAGGTGGTACTAATAACAGCTGCTGTTGATAGAGTGCTTAGTGTGTGCCAAGTGCTGTTCTAAACATGTTCACATACATTAAATTCATTTAGTGCTTATGCCAACCATATGGGCAAAATACGATTTTTATCCTCACTTTATAGATGAGGAACTGAGACAGGCACAGAGAGGTTAGGAGACTTGCCCACGGTAGTGCAGCTCGCAAGTGCTGGTGCCAGGATTTAAGTATGGCTGAGTGCTTGTCTTCAGCCCTCCTAGATCACCCCCTGTGGTGAAGTTGTATTACCGTTCTTTACATGCACAGTTCTCAAAATATAACCCTATGTGGTAGGTACTATTGCCATAATATCCTAATCTCCATTTTGTAAGTGAGGACGCTGGTGCTCAGTGGGGGTTCAGTCCTTTGCCCAAAGTCATATGGCACGTAAGTGGCAGGGCCAGGATTTGAGCCCTGGTGAACCACAACCTGTATGTTTCCAGAATGGGCATCCAGAGGGTAGATTCTCTAGTCCTAGTCTTGCCATTAAGTCATAAGGTGATCTAGGGGGTCTCTGGAACTTGGATTAAAAACGTCTTATAGTCTCTACAGGTCCTTTTGTTATTAATTCTGATACTAGGCTTGTATGTCTTTCCTTCTGTTTATAGTGTGACACCCAGCCCCTGCCAGTTCCCCATGGCCCGGTGGAGCCGAGCGGCGGTGCTGAGTCTCTATCGGGCTCTGTTGCGCCAGGGCCGACAGCTTCGCTACACTGATCGAGACTTCTACTTTGCCTCCATCCGCAGTGAATTCCGAAAACATCAGAAGCTAGAGGACCCTGAGGCCCGGGAGAGGCAGCTGGAGAAGGGCCTGGTCTTTCTCAGCGGCAAATTGGGGAGGATCATTTAGGATCCTCCAAGGGAAAGAGGACAAAGGTGCCTTCTGTAGACACTCCTGCTCTCTCCCATCCCCACCTTACAGATGCATTAAGAAGCCTCAGGTATGTAGGCCCTTATTCCTGTAGGTTTCGTTATTTTTTGTTGCAAGGGACCGAGAAAGGATCAAAGTCGTCCTTTTAGTCATTAGAAATCAGTGGAGAGCCAGGTGCACTGGTGTGCATCTATAGTCCCAGCTCTGCAGGAGGCTGAGGCAGGAGGATGGCTTGAGCCCAGGAGGTTGAGGCTGCAGTGAGCTATGATTGCATCACTGCACTCCAGGCTGGGTGACAGAATGGAACCCTATCTCTGGGAGAAAAAAAAAAAAAGGCCGGGCGTGGTGGCTCACGCCTGTAATCCCAGCATTTTGGGAGGCCGAGATGGGCGGATCACGAGGTCAGGAGATCGAGACCATCCTGGCTAACATGGTGAAACCCCGTCTCTACTAAAAATACAAAAAAAAAAAATTAGCCGGGCGTAGTGGCGGGCACCTGTAGTCCCAGCTACTCGGGAGGCTGAGGCAGGAGAATGGCGTGAACCCGGGAGGCGGAGCTTGCAGTGAACCCAGATCGCGCCACCGCACTCCAGCCTGGGCAACTGAGCAAGACTCCGTCTTGAAAAAAAAAAAAAACAAAAGGACATTTGAGGTCTTTCTCAAATGAGAAATAAAGGCTTATCAGCAGCGGGGCAGGGAAGTGGGAACCGCAATTTTTTTTTTTTAAAGAGACAAGGTCTCACTCTTGCCCAAGCTGCAGTATGATGGCATGATCATAGCTCTCGGGAACCTTGAATGCCTGGCCTCAAGCAGTCTTGCCTTTTCAGCCTCCTGAGTAGCTGGAACGCCAGACATATACCAATGTGCCCAGCTAATTTTTTATTATTATTTTTATTTGTAGAGATAGTCTTGCTATGTTGCCCAGGCTGCTCTCAAACTCTTAGCCTCAAGCGATCCTCCCATCCTTGCCTCCCAAAGCATTGGGATTAAAGGGGCAAACAGCTCTGCCTGTCCAGAAACTGCACTTTGTAGTCTGGAAACTTAAGTCTGGTGTGGCCAGAATGGTACCTCTGTAAGGCAGATAGCCAGAGTTGAGGCTGGGCCAGATCTGGAAGGACATTGACTCCAAGTTGAGATGGTAATGTATATCTTATTATGCGGGGACCATCACAGCTCTGTAAGCAGAGGAATGACATAGCCACATTTGTATCGTAGAGGGAGCGTACCAGTGGCAGTGTGAAGAATAAATTGATGAGAGATACTAGAGGTAGTGGATGTAGCCGGATGAGATTGAGGGACCGAGGGGTGGGGGTGGCCGCATATAAACACAGTGTGTACAGCAGTGGGACTTGGTGATCCGTTGGCTGAGGCAGGAGGAGGAGAGAGAAAGATGAAGAGTAACTGGGTAACTGGGTGTAAGGCCTGCCAGCTGGGTGGAGGGTGCTGCTTTTAACTGGAGGAGGGAAAGCTGGAGGAGGAGCCTTACGTAATGGCTTTTGGTTCTTCTCAGCCACTTAGGATTGGCACACCTGCCTTTGGCAGTACAGGGCCGGGGTGGGGTGATGCCCATGGGAGCCTGTCTGCACAGGGAGGATTGGCTAGCAGATCTGGGAGGGCATTAGGGCGTTCCTTGAAATCTTTGTGTTCCTAATATATTTTGGCTGTGAGTTGGGCTACACGCTGCTATCACCACCCCCTCAAAAAAACCAAGAAACAAAACGCTGTAGGGTTAATACTTCATTCCCACAGCAGATACTTAGTATGCATCAAACACTGCACACCCTGGGGATGCAGCAGTGAATGAGCCCAGGTGTCCCCCAGAAGCATATGGTCGGGGGTTAACGGAGTAGAGATGGGAACAAGGTGGGGAGCAAGTACCTAGGACCCCTGTAGATTAGTTCTCCCCACCAGCTTGAGCTCAGTGTTCAAATCCTGGCCATGTAATTTACTGACACAGTGACCTTGGGTCGGTTACAGAAACTACTCAGTTTCTTCATCCTGTAAATTTGGAATAATATTACTGATCTCATGGGATTGTTGTTGTGAGGATTGAGGGAATTAATAATAAGTGTAAAATTCCCAGCACATAATGCACACTCAATATATGTTACCTAGTCTCGTACGTACTCAAGCAAGATAGGTTTATAAAAAGGCCTATTCCTTTTTCAATTAAAATAAGTTGGAACTTTAACAATTCTGTGCTGTCATCCTAGGAAGCCACAAGGCCTCCATTATTCATCATCCTTACTTTATTAGGGTAATGAGCATTTCTGTTCCCATTTTTGTATTTAGGGAGACAGGTTAAATAACTTGCCTGCAATGTTGGCAGAGCTCAAATTCTCTATCCCTAGTTCTGCCCACCAGGTCTGTGTTCCTTTTTTGTGTTTTATTTTAACCATCTTAACCATTTTAAAGTATACAGTTCAGGAGCAGTAAGTATGTTCACATTGTTGTGTAACAGAGCCCCAGAGCTCTTTTCATCTGGCACATCTGAAACTCTATACCCATTAAACAATGGAGTTCCTTCATGACAGTCCTGATTGGAGGTGCAGTTCTTACCTGCTAGTAGGCTGTAAGGTTATGTAGCAGAACCTGAGTGGAGAGTGTGTCGTGGAGAAGCAGTTTAAACTGGAACAAGTTGAATTAACTCTTCAAGTAAGGTCCATGTCTGTCTGTGGAGCTTGTGGACGCTCTCTTCTATTCTTCCAGGTCACCAGGTCTGTGATGTCAGTTGGTCCTTGGATGGTGGGTGGGGGGTGTATATTGCACTACAGCAGGAAAAGCCTTTTTTTTTTTTTTTTTGAAACGGAGTCTTGCTCTGTTGCCCAGGCTGTAGTACAGTGGGTGCAGTGCAGTCTTGGCTCACTGCAACCTCCGCCTCGCAGGTTCAAGTGATTCTCCTGCCTCAGCCTCCCGAGTAGCTGGGACTACAAGCGCCCGCCACCACACCCAGCTAATGTTTTGTATTTTTAGTAGAGACAGGGTTTCACCTGTTAGCCAGGATGGTCTCGATCTCCTGACCTCGTGATCTGCCCACCTTGGCCTTCCAAAGTGTTGGGATTACAGGTGTGAGGCACTGCGTCCGGCGGAAAAGGCTTTAACAAGCTGGCCCAACTTAATAGTTTTGATCTTAGCTGGTGGCTCACGCCTGTAATCCCAACACTTTGGGAAGCTGAGGTGGGTGGATCACCTGAGGTCAGGAGTTCGAGACCAGCCTGGCTAACATAGTGAAACCCCTGCTGTACTAAAAATACAAAAAATTAGCAGGGCGTGGTGGCACATGCCTGTAATCCCAGCTACTAGGGAGGCTGAAGCAGGAGAACTGCTTGAACCCAGGAGGCGGAGGTTGCAGTGAGCCAGGATCGCCCGACTACACTCCAGCCTAGGTGACAGAGCGATACTCAGTCTCAAAAAAAAAAAAAAAGAAAAATAGTTTTGATCTAAAAAATAGTGATACTCAAGACGGTATCACTGCAAATTTTAAAGGCCGTTTTAGAGCAGTCTCAAAAGGTGAAATATCACTCAGAGGACAGTCTGGGTTGCTGACTGAATTCTGGAAGCTGACCTTTGTCCTGTGGATGGAAATCTTAAAAGACTAGATGATAACTCATTTGTGGAGCACTTTTACAGTTTATAGACCATCCACTGCAATACAGTTTATACCATTCACATACAGTATTGCAGTGGTTGGTATTTCCTCACTACAACCCTGTGATTTGGTCCCATGCAGGGACCATTATCCCCTTTTCGTAGCTGAGGTGTTAAGTAACTCATTTGAGGTCACCCAGCTAATAAGTCAGGGCTTAAGGCAAATTCTGTATCTCAGGATTTCTGACTCTAAAACCCACGCTCTGTTTTGTTATCTGTAGCACCACCTTGCAGTCATCAGAAGGGCGCCAAGGACTAAAATGGTCCAGGGAGGCTGCTTCTGCCCGGAGCGAGGAGGTGCCCTTCTGGCCTTGCTGCATCACACTGAAGGATCATTTAGAGGGCCCTTGTGTCCAGTGGCTCTCCCTATTGTAAATATTTCAGTAAAGAGTTAAAACAAGAGACATTGTTATGTGTGGGGAAATGTATAATGTTCTGCTTTTTTCCTGATTGGGTTACTCTGCTCTGCTAAGTTTGGTATGGCTCGTCTCTGTCTCAGTGTCTCACTGTCTGGAGGGAGGGTGTCTGGTGCTCTTCCCTGACTCCACCTGTAAATACAAACGTTAACTCTTCTCCCTGGCCTTGCTCTGTACATTTGAGGTAAGAATGTACTTGGTTTGGCCAGATAGTCTCTCATATCCCTAAACCTGAGGCTTCTGTTGACTGTAAATGGTAGAGAAAAGGAAAGTACCCCCAAGGTGTGAACTCTAGTTAGGGAAAAAATATTTTTGGGCTTGACAGTGACTCTTAGTTAACTCAATTGCTGGAATAATAGAGTCAGAAATAGTTCTTTGTTTTTCAGGGAGGTAGAGGCAGGAGCATAATATGCGGAAGCTGGCAATACCCAGTCGTAACATGGTATTAGAAGGAATATTATTTTACATGGAAGATAATCCTTAGTGATCCTTTTTTTTTCCCTCGAGACAGAGTCCTGCTCTGTCGCCCAGGCTGGAGTGCAGTGGCGATTCTCCTGCCTCGGCCACCATGCCCGGCTAATTTTTTGTATTTTTAGTAGAGACGGGTTTCACTATGTTGGCCAGGCTGGTCTCGAACTTCTGACCTTGTGATCCACCCGCCTTGGCCTCCCAAAGTGCTGGGATTACAGGTGTGAGCCACCGCGCCCAGCGGATCCTGTCTCTTGATGTCCTCCCATTCTGGGACACTAAATGGTATCCGACTTTGGTTTCCCTTATGTCATTCCTGGTGTGAAGGACACGGTATATTATAGAGGAGAGTGGCAGGTATTCCAATCTGAACCACGCTGTCATCCTTTACCTGGCTCAGGCCCAGGGTTCTAACTCCACGGGAATGGGCTTATCTGGGGACTGCTGCTGCTGCTGCAGTCAGGAAGACTCCCCTCTAGCCGGGAGCAGCACTGGCCTGAGCACTGCACTGGAGGCCAGCCTCTTCGCTGTGGTGCCCAAGTACTCCTTTCAGGTGACCACATTTTTAGTTCCTCTTCCAAGTGTAATCGAGCAGATGGGTGTTTTGTTTTCCAGTTAGCAGTCAAGTGTGCAGTGTCCTTTGTGTTTTTATCTCCCAGGATACCAGTCTCACCTAAGCTTTTATGGTTCCCGCTGCCCACTTTTCTCAGAAACAAAGCATTTGTCAAGTAGGAGGGTCCATGGAGGGACCTTTCTCACATATGGATGTGTAGTTCCAGTTCCATGTGCAGGGTGTTTGGTACATGTTGTTTTGTGTTTGGTTTGCAGAAAGTAGATAGAATAAGGGCCGATTTGATTTGGGTAAGGGTGAGCATGGTACAGTAGAAAAAGCATCATACAAGGAGTAGGGAGTCCTGAGTTCTGGAGATGACTGTGTCATTTTGTTTTTGTTTTTGAGGTGGAGTTTTGCTCTTGTTGCCCAGGCTAGAGTGCAATAGTGTGATCTTGGCTCACTGCAACTCCGCCTTCCAGGTTCAAGGGATTCTCCTGCCTCGGCCTCCTGAGAAGCTGTGATTACAGGAGTGCGCCATCACATCTGGCTAATTTTGTATTTTTAGTAGTGACGGGGTTTCTCCATGTTGACTAGGCTTGTCTTGAACTCCTGACCTCAGGTGATCCGCTCACCTCGGCCTCCCAAAGTGCTGGGATTACAGGTGTGAGCCACCGTGCCCGGCCCATTTTGTTTTTTGTTTTTTGTTTTTATTTTTAAGAGATGGGGACCTGCGTTATTACCCCTGTGAAGGGGTAGAGAGACCTGCGTTATCACATTGGGAAGGGGTAGAGAGACCTGCGATATAACATTGTGAAGGGGTAGAGAGACCTGCGTTATCACATTGGGAAGGGGTAGAGAGACCTGCGTTATAACATTGTGAAGGGGTAGAGAGACCTGCGATATAACATTGTGAAGGGGTAGAGAGACCTGCGTTATAACATTGTGAAGGAGTAGAGAGAGGGTTGTTTTGCATGTGGGGTACTTCATTGTAATATAAAAAAGGATTGACACTGAGCTTAATGCTTTCTTAATCTCAGTAGCTTGGGGAAGGTTTTCCTACAGTATCCAGGATCCGTCCCTTCTCCTTGCATCCTGATCTATCATGGGACATTGTAGCTCCTTCTAGACCCTAAAGCATACAGTGCTGGAGGCAAGAGGATTTGGGTTGCTGGAACTCACAGAGTACCCTGTACTTGTTGGGGTTTGACTTGTTGGGGGAGGGAGGTTCTTGGGGTCGCAGTACTTATGGCCATGTTCTATCTTCATTCTCAGATGAGCAATGGCAGGCGCTGGTGAGCGCAAAGGCAAGAAGGATGACAATGGCATTGGCACGGCCATTGACTTTGTGCTCTCCAATGCCCGGCTGGTGCTGGGGGTGGGTGGAGCGGCCATGCTGGGCATCGCCACGCTGGCAGTTAAGCGGGTAAGTGCATGCAGCCAGGGTTGGGGTGGGATGTAGTGGTATGGTCATAACATGTAATATTTTACAGAAAGAAAATGTCGAAGCGTTCTAGTAATAGGAGGAAATGATCACAATGATGTTAAGTGAAAAAAACAGGTTTCAAAAGTACGTATAGAGTGGTCCTCATTACATGCATCTAGAAAGAAACATACCAGATATTACAAACAGATTTCTTTGGGTCATGACATATGGATTATCTATGTCTTATTTAGTCTTCCCTGAGATTTTCTGCATGGAGCAAAGTATTCTATAATCTAGAATAAAAACAAAATTACTAAAAGATAGTAGTTGAACTTACTAGGACAGAGCTTCTGGAGAGGAAGTAAATTGGAAGGAAATAGGGAAAGAGGGCAGGTTTATGTCCTGTGTCCTCTGCTATTTCAGATGTACGATCGGGCGATCAGTGCCCCTACCAGCCCCACCCGCCTGAGCCATTCAGGGAAAAGGAGCTGGGAAGAACCAAACTGGATGGGCTCCCCCCGACTGCTGAACAGGGACATGAAGACGGGCCTGAGCCGGTCCCTGCAGACCCTTCCCACAGACTCCTCTGCCTTCGACACAGGTGAGAAGGGCTGCTGCCCCTCCTGGGACTTCTCTGGACTTTCAGTACCACTCCTGCACTCAACAGATGTTTCCTGAGCACATCTGTGCCAGGCACTGTGCCAGCACTTGCCCTCCATGCCAGGCCCTTCTTTCTGGGGCTGAGGCAGCTGTGGACTGAGCAGGCATGGGCAGAGCTCACGTGCCTCTCTCTCTTGCCTTGGCAGATACATTCTGCCCGCCCCGGCCCAAGCCAGTGGCCAGGAAGGGCCAGGTAGACTTGAAGAAGTCACGACTCCGCATGTCCCTGCAGGAGAAACTTCTTTCTTACTACCGGAACCGGGCAGCCATCCCTGCTGGAGAGCAGGCTCGGGCCAAGCAAGCTGCTGTGGACATATGTGCCGAGCTCCGGAGCTTCCTGCGGGCCAAGTTGCCTGACATGCCGCTTCGGGACATGTACTTGAGTGGCAGCCTCTATGATGACCTGCAGGTAACAAGGTGGTTCTCATGGTGGGTGGGGTTTGGGTGCTAAGCACAGTAGTGTTGTTGGCACAGATCAGTGTCCAGGCTTGCTAGAAAGACTGAGGTCTTACAGCTTCTGAATCCTGTGTACTGCAGCAGCATTTGGAGAGCCATACTTGTTATTCTTTTTTTGTTTTGTTTTGTTTTTGAGACGGAGTCTCGCTCTGTCGCCCAGGCTGGAGTGGTGCAGTGGCGTGATCTCGACTCACTGCAAGCTCCACCTCCCGAGTTCAAGTGATTCTCCTGCCTCAGCCTTCTGAGTAACTGGGATTACAGGTGTGTGCCATCACTCCCGGCTAATTTTTTTGTATTTTTAGTAGAGACAGGGTTTTGCCATGTTGGCCAGGCTGGTCTCGAACTCCTGACCTCAGGTGATCCACCCACCTTGGCCTCCCAAAATGCTGGGATTACAGGTGTGAGCCACCACGCCTGGCATGTTATTCTTTCGAAATTCTTGTGTCTTTAATCCTTTCTCATGTTTTAGTCCTACTTACAACTTTTAAGAAGCTATAAGAGGCTTCCTCCTTTCTATGTTCTTGTATCCATCTCTCCTTTCTAGTTTTCTCAGTCTGTGTAGATTGATATGGTGACATGAAAGAATTCTTTTTTTTTTTTTTTTGAGATGGAGTCTTGTTCTGTCGCCCAGGCTGGAGTACAGTGGCACGATCTTAGCTCACTGCAACCTCCGCCTCCTGCCTTCAAGCAATTCTCCTGCCTCAGCCTCCCGAGTAGCTGGGACTACAGGCACCCGCCACCATGCCTGGCTAATTTTTTTGTATTTTTAGTAGAGACGGGGTTTCACCATGTTGGCTAGGCTGGTCTTAAACTCCTGACCTCAAGTGAGCTGGCCGCCTCGGCCTCCCACAGTGCCGGGATTACAGGCGTGAGCCACCGCGCCTGGCCTAGAGTTCCCATTCTTGCTGGGGGAATGTAAGATGGTGGGAACCGTGTTGGAGGAAGCGTGTCTTTTGAACAGAGTAAACCCTCCAAACGTTTTAAATTCTGCTCTGACAGGTGGTGGCAGCTGACCACATCCAGCTGATTGTGCCCCTTGTGCTGGAGCAGAACCTGTGGTCGTGTATTCCTGGTGAAGACACCATCATGAATGTTCCTGGCTTCTTCCTGGTGCGTCGTGAGAATCCAGAGTACTTTCCTCGTGGGAGCAGTTACTGGGACCGCTGTGTTGTAGGGGGCTACCTCTCCCCAAAGACAGTTGCAGATACATTTGAGAAGGTGGTGGCTGGCTCCATCAATTGGCCAGCCATAGGGTCCCTCTTGGACTATGTGATCCGCCCGGCACCACCCCCAGAGGCCCTCACACTGGAGGTACAGTATGAGCGTGACAAACATCTCTTCATTGACTTCCTGCCATCAGTGACCCTCGGTGACACAGTCTTGGTGGCCAAACCACATCGGCTAGCCCAGTATGACAACCTGTGGCGGCTGAGCCTGCGTCCTGCAGAGACGGCACGCCTGCGGGCTCTGGACCAGGCTGACTCGGGCTGCCGATCTCTGTGCCTCAAGATCCTCAAGGCCATATGCAAGTCCACCCCGTCTCTGGGCCACCTCACTGCCAGCCAGCTAACCAATGTCATCCTCCTCTTGGCCCAGGAGGAGGCTGACTGGTCTCCAGATATGCTGGCCGACCGTTTCCTACAGGCCCTGAGGGGACTTATCAGCTACTTAGAGGCTGGAATCCTGCCCAGTGCTCTAAACCCCAAGGTGAACTTATTTGCAGAGCTCACCCCTGAAGAAATAGACGAATTAGGATACACTCTGTATTGCTCATTGTCCGAGCCAGAGGTGCTGCTGCAGACGTAGGGCAGGTGAAGGCCAACGCGGGTGTTGGTGGTCAGGCCCTGGATTCTCCGTTAGATACACTTGGCTACTTAGTTGGTGCCTCACAGGGTTCCTGGTGCCTGCTGTCTTGCTGATCATCAACCTGGTCACTTCCTGCTGATTAGAATGACATCTCTTCCGTCTCCTATTTTCTTACCCAACTCTTCCTATTTTTGTTACCAATCACTGTGCTCCCTGCTCCCCCTGGCTCCAGGCTAATTTTTCTGGAATGAATTGAGAAGGTGGTATGCTGGCCTGAGCTGATGGACCACTTGTTTTGCATTTCAGCCCATGTTTGCTGCCTCTGTCTGGTCTGCCTTGCCTGTTTGCCTGTTCCTATTCAGTGTCTTTTCTATTTTTTCCTCTCTTGTTCATGCCTTCTGTTTTGCTCTTGTCCCTGGAGCATATCTGCCTAATTAAGATGTTGCCTTTTAGTTGAATGCCACTGAAGAGCTGTGACAGCATGTTTCAAAGCTGAACTCTACAGAGTGAGTGCTGGGACAGTATTTAGGGTTTCTGGGAGTGAGGCTGGTAGAAGAGCTGGCCTTGACCCCGGTTCCTGGAGTAGAGTCCGCCCTCCCCGCCATCTCCTGACCCATTCCTAAATGCTGAGAATGTCTCTCACGGAAACACTGTTAGTGATCCCCACAGGACAAGCTGGATTCTAAATTATTTGCAGATTGAATTTCTGGGTGGCTATCAGCAGAAGTGCAGAGTAGGGAACCAGAGCTGGTTAAGGGCCTAGTGGAGGGTTTGTGTGCCCAGTGTCCGCTCCTCATCTGTGGCTGCAGGGGTCAGACAGACAAGGATGGGGGCTGCCAGGACACCACCTCGTCATGAATGCTGGTTTTCACCCCTCTTCCTTATTTTATTGCCAATCAGGACAAGGCCTTGAAGGAATGCAGTCTTAGCCATCAGTTAAGGATGAGGGAGGTAGACAGGCGATTGAATGTCAGTTGGAAAATCCGGTCACTAGTTGGGGTTTGGTGGCCATGTTTTCTCCCCAGACAGGCCCTGCTTTTCTAGGATGTGGCCTTAGGCAAGAACAGACCCAACAGCCAGCCCTTCATCCTCCAGTGTCTGCCGTAGGAACGTGAGAGGGCTCTTTGCTGAGCGCTCGGGGTACGGCCAGAGGGCAAGTGAGCATGCACAGACCTCTTTCCCCTGTCCTGTTTCTCACCCAGCACCTGGGGAGATTGGTGCTACCAAGGAAGAGAGCACACAGATAAGGCAGAGGGGAGGAGGTAGGCATTTCTTAGGTTCCTCATTGTTTCCTGCTGCTGAGATTGCAGTATTTATTGCAATGTAAATGTATCCTGAAGGTGGGGAGGAATGTTTAATCCACCATGTCCATGTGTCGTCTTGGTTTGTGCTTGCCCTGTTTGTGGCAAGACTCTGATGATAATTCTGTTTCTCATCTGCCTATCAGTATTTTGTTTTCCTCCCGTCAAGTTGTCTTATTTTTTGGATGACTACCTCTCCATCAGTGAGGTTCTGGTGAAGCTCTCTGCAGCTGTCTCATTCCTTTCCAATGATAGTAACAGGAAATAACTCTTTAGCATTGATACCTCAGCAGCAATTTAGGGTAGAGATTCCTGCCCTGTCACAGATTAGGAAGTTGACAACTAGGCTTAACGTTGACTATATTTAGAGGTCTTTTTGGCTCTTTTCCCCTTAACAAGGATTTCTTATGGTGGTTTCAATTTTATTTGCATAAAAGTATTAAGAGGGAACAAAAAACGATAAAGCTGAGAATCGTGAGAGAGCTTATCTACCTGTCTGTTGGTAAGACTCAAATGAGAGTTTAAAAAAAAAAAAACCGGTACGCCTGAGTACCATCCTGGATGAATCTAGAAGGTGTGGGGTAGAGCCTAACAGTGAGGGTTCCAGTGTACCCCTTGGGTTTCCATTACAGGGAAGGGAGAGGAGAGGATTGATAGAGTGTTGCAAAAGTATATTTTTTATTTTTATTTTTTTGAGACGGAGTCTCGCTCTGTCGCCCAGGCTGGAGTGCAGTGGCGCAATCTCGGCTCACTGCAAGCTCCGCCTCCCGGGTTCACGCCATTCTCCTACCTCAGCCTCCCGAGTAGCTGGGACTACAGGCGCCCGCCACTGCGCCCGGCTAATTTTTTTCTATTTTTTAGTAGAGACGGGGTTTCACCATGGTCTCGATCTCCTGACCTTGTGATCCACCCGCCTCGGCCTCCCAAAGTGCTGGGATTACAGGCGTGAGCCACCGCGCCCGGCCGAGTGTTGCAAAAGTATAGATTATTCTTCATTGAGATAAAGGATTTGGTTTCCCTGCCATGAGTATTAAAAAATTTTAAGTTTTCCCAACCTTGCATCTCTGACCAAATTTCACATAAAACATTGGAAGGAGGCTGGGCACAGTGACTCACGCTTGTAATCCCAGCACTGGGAGGCTAAGGTGGGCGGATCACTTGAGGTCAGGAGTTTGAGACCAGCCTGGCTGACATAGTAACCCCATCTCTACCAAAAAGATAAAAATAAGCTGGGCGTGGTAGCAGGTGCCTGTAATCTCAGGTACTCGGGAGGCTGAGGCAGGAGAATCACTTAAACCTGGAGAGTGGAGGTTGCAGTGAGCTGAGATCACACCACTGCACTCCAGCCTGGGTGACAGAGTGAGATCCTGTTTCAAAAAATTTTGAAAAATAAAAATTGGAAGGAGAGCTTAAAAAAAGATTTTAAGAGTTCCAAGTTATTTTAGTGTAGTTGTCACTTGAGGAAGGCAAATGAGTTTATCATTCTTCTTTTTTTTTTTTTTTTTTTTTTTTTTGAGACGGAGTCTCGCTCTGTCGCCCAGGCTGGAGTGCTGTGGCCGGATCTCAGCTCACTGCAAGCTCCGCCTCCCGGGTTCACGCCATTCTCCTGCCTCAGCCTCCCGAGTAGCTGGGACTACAGGGGCCCGCCACCTCGCCCGGCTAGTTTTTTGTATTTTTTAGTAGAGACAGGGTTTCACTGTGTTAGCCAGGATGGTCTCGATCTCCTGACCTCGTGATCCGCCCGCCTCGGCCTCCCAAAGTGCTGGGATTACAGGCTTGAGCCACCGCGCCCGGCCTATCATTCTTCTTAAAGAGCATCTCTTTTAACTGTTTGACAAAACCATAACTTTGTCATTTTACAAGCAAGAACCTCTTAAGAAGTCCTCAGAACTAGAAGCAGTGTGAACTCTCAGCCTTGGTCCTGGTGGGTTTGCTGACCATGACTGGGCAAGCCATTCTTTTTGCTGCCATCTTCCTCTTCATAAAATGTGGAACATAGGCACTCGCTTTGAGATTTTTAGATAGAAGAAGACATTCTGCACCTGCCCCCTTTTTTAAATCTTTGGGAAAAGATGAGTAATTTTCCCCGCTACTCTGCCTTCCTGTTCAGTAACTCTTACTTTTGCCTGAAGTAATAGCATCTTCTACTTCTCCATCTAGAGATTTTTGTGTGTGTGCCATCAAGGTTAGCAAACCTTATACTTAGCCTAACACTTAAAAAATGCACTCATTATCTTAAACCTAATAAATTCCAGAGTTTATTTTGGTTCTCCTCTGTTGCCCTTCCTAAAAAATGAGTTCAAGATGACAGTATTTTTCTTTACATGCTTGGTTGTGAGTTTTAAAGTTTTATTTAAATAAATGTTGAAGCTCAAGTTTAAAGAAAGCATTGCAGAGGCCCACAGTCTCCTGGGTCCCGGCCGGTGGAGGCACACCTGTCCATATTCCACATTCGCTGACTGTGCTCCCTGCACTCCACTCAAGGTGAGAATTCAGATAGTCTTGAAGGGGAATCAGCTTCAGGATGGAAGGACCCAGGAGAGGCCCCGAGGGGGGAATTCTGTAAATACAGACTACTGCGAGTGTGCAGAGCTCTGTGCCATGGTACTTCCTTGGGACTCTGACTTGGCTGACAACTTGTGCTGTCAGAGGATTTGTTAGAACTCTGCCCTTTTGTCTGAAGCTCAAGGCCAAGGAGACTTAGGATAGAGCTGACCCCTGCACCCCAGGCTGGGAGGCTCCAGCCCTTGTAGATGCCACTTACTGTAAGTGGCCAGAATACCAGAGATGTGGGTTCCATGGTCAGCTGCACACTAAGTGTTTACCTTTACATTTGGATCACCTTGTAGTCTTTAATTATTGGTCCCTGAGGCCAAGTCCACAGCTTGCCTTCTAGTCACTTGCCTGCCCATCAGTGGTGGTGGATGTGTTAGCTGGTAGATTTGGAATCAGTCACAGTCTTTCTGTACTGTCTTGGTTAGGTCTGTATAAGTAGAGGCAGCTTAGCCCTGAGACCCAGAGAGCTGCTATCCTTTTTCTCCTTGCAGGAGGAAATAAAACTGGGGAACACAATGTCCTTCCATAGCATAGGAAGAAGAAAATAAAAGTCTCCTTTCCACCAGTGTTGACTTGTGTGTGTTGCATGAAACATCTTCCTGTGGGAGTGGTACTGGGTCTCCATTTTCAGCTAGAGTAACCTTTGAAGTGTTTGAGCTAGGTCTCTATAAAAGAATGGATGGGACAGGCTGCCATGAGAGTCGTTCTTTCATGACCTTTTCAGTGTCAAAACTGGGGCAGTGTTACTTTAATACTCAACCATTTGCACCATCATCTGTCAGGAGGTGCTGTCTATAGCAAGAGGAGAACACGTCCTGTGGGTCCCTAGTTCAGCCTTTGGAAGACATGGCTAATGGCTCAGGGATTCTTACTGCCTTTGCATGGAAAGATTAGACAACTCCTGTATTTATTATTATTAAGACAGGGTCTTGCCCTGTTGCCCAGGCTGAGTTGCAGTGTTGTGATTACAGCTCACTGCAGCGTGGAATTCCTGGGCTCAAGCAATCCTCCCACCTCTGCCTGAGTAGGTGGGACTACAGGCTGGAGCCACTGCTCCTGGCACCAATTCTGTATATCTCAACACTCATGATTCCCCAAAGAGAAAGAAAAACCATACTTTTGTTCCAGCATCCAGTATGCCTTGTGTATACCTGTATACCAGTTTTAAAGTTGTTGGTTCATCTCATTAAATAATAGTTAAGAGTCCTCTGAGGCAGCAGGAGGATGTGGAGAGTGGCACAGGTCAGGGTCAGGAGACCTGAGTTCTATGAAGGGTAGCAGCAATAGCAACTATTATTGGGTGCTTACATGTACCAGGCGCTATGCTAAGTGCTTTACATGTATGACCTCACTTCATGGGGCAAGGATACTCATCAGTAGTTTCATTTTACAAATGAGGAAACCGAGGCTCAAAGAGGATAAGTCACTTAGCCAAAATGTCCCAGCCAGGATTCTTTTGGGTGAGCTCCCCAAAATCTGTCTTCTAACTCCTACCCTATACTCCCTCCACTGGGAGCTGTGCGACTTTGAGCAAGAAGCTTCATCCCATTGGGCCTCGGTTTACCATTGGAAAGGACTTGTGGGCGAGGTTGAATGAGCGCAGCAGATGGCCTGTGGTTATTTAGAGCAGTGCTTCCCTGGTTGTTTGATATCACAGCGATCATAGAAATACTTGTGTGGCCCGGTGAAATGGAGGCGGAAACTCAGTTTCCACCTTCACAGGGCCTGACTGGAGGGGGCTGAGGACGATGCGGAGGTTTCCTGTATTAAAACAGACTACCCCTTCCCAACGCACAACCCCGAGCAAGTGGCCGTGGGTTCCCAAGCGCCTCTCCTCCCAGGGCCATGGGCATGACCACTGAAAAGCGGGTTAGGCCGGGGAGTTCAGAACCCGGAGTGAATCGAAACTACCCCAGGTAGATGGCAGCGAAGAAAATCCTGTTCTTAGGGGAACGCAATCTTCGGACACCAGAAGTTCCCCTATGATGCTATTCTGTGGCAGCCTCGCACTTGAGCCGGATGAGAATTGTAAAAACCCAGGTTGGGCGACAGGACGGCGCGTCTTCCCGGCTCCTTTCCAGAGTTTAGGCGGAGCCATGCAGACTCAGCTGGCCTTTGGGTGTAGGTGGGCAGGCCCGGGGCGCCCTCTCGAGACCCCTTCAACCTCCCGGGGGCAGCAACACCGTGTCGGCTATGAATGGCGTCTCTGGAAAACTCAGGCTTGGAACAGGTAACCCCCCGGTTTCCGCAGGCCAGAAATCAGCCCCCGCAACCGAAGGACGCGCAGGCTGGGAGTGGCGGCGGGGCCGCCAGTGGCGGACCTCCACTGAGGGCGGCGGGACCCGACCGCAGGGGCTGGGCCCTGAGGCCACTATGGGGTGCGCTAGGCTAAGGTCTCCTGGGGGAAGGAGCCAGCGCGATTGTAGCTGGCCAAGGCCTGGCAGAGACCCGAGACCCCGACCCTTCCCACGCGGACTCCGTGATCCCTCTCCCAGCAGCCGCCCACCTGGGGCCCTGAGCCAATAAGAGCTCGAGGTATATATGACTCACCGTGCCTGGGCCAATCAGCTTGACGCGCGCTCTTCGCCAGCACCTCGCGCGATAACCTGGCTTCCTCGGCCTTCACAATAAAAACTCTCCGCCGGAAAACGACCTCTCCCCGCCCACCGCGTCGACACCGGAAGCGGGGCGTGTCTGCGAGATCACTCCGCGCTCCGGCGGCGAAGGAAAGAACGGACTCTGATCATAGAAGTCTAGTAAAGTAGTGCACCTCTCTCGTTTCGTGAGGTCATAAGAACAAACACCTTTTCTCGTCACAGCTACGCGCTGGGCATAAACGGTTGGGGCGTCAAAGTTAGGGAAACGAGCAGGCGGGAGGAGATGGTCACGTGGCCGTGGCGGAAGGATGCGTCTGTGCTGCGTCCCCTTAGAGACGAAGTCTATAAAGGGCCGGCGGGCGGCTGCTGCGGCCATTTCTATTTCGTCCGCCCACAGATGTAGTTTTGTTCGCACGTGCGCGCCTTACCTCCTCCCCGCCCGCAGGGTCCACGGCCACCATGGCGTATTAGGGGCAGCAGTGCCTGCGGCAGCATTGGCCTTTGCAGCGGCGGCAGCAGCACCAGGCTCTGCAGCGGCACCCCCCCCCCAGCGGCTTAAGCCATGGCGTGAGTACCAGGGCGGGTCGTCCAGCTGTGCTCCCTGGGGCGGCGCAGGTTTTGGGTTGGCGGGGTGCGGCCTGGGGCCGGGGCGGTGCCGCCAAGGAGGAAGCGATTTTACGAGCGCCCGGGACGCGTGGTCTTTGCTTGGGTGTCCCCGAGACGCTCGCGTGCCCGGGATCGGGAAGGCGCATTCGGGTGCCAGGACTGTTTCCACAGGGGCCCTGCCGCCCTCGGACCCCGAGGCCCCCAAGGGTCCCAGGGGTCTCGGCTTTCCCCCCCGCGAAACGTGGCAGGAACCAAGATGGCGGCGGCAGGGCGGCGGCGCGGGCGTGAGTCAAGGGCGGGCGGTGGGCGGGGCGCGGCCGCCCTGGCCGTATTTGGATGCGGGGACGGAGCGCCTTCCTTTTGGTGGCCGGTGGAAGAATCGCCTGGTCTCCGTGAGCGTCCATTTTGTGGAACCTGAGCCGCAGCAGGGAGGGGCGGATGCAACTGCCCGGTTGCCGACTCTGTAGATGGCTGGCCTAGAGAAGTCCCGCCTCGTAAGTGGAAAGATGAAATTCTCAGACCAGCTAACCTCTAATGGGAGTTGGCTTCTGATTCCCATTCAGGCTTCTCACGGCATTCAGCAGCAGCGTTGCTGTAACCGACAAAGACATCTTCGAATTAAGCACATTCCTCGATTCCAGCAAAGCACCGCAACATGACCGAAATGAGCTTCCTGAGCAGCGAGGTGTTGGTGGGGGACTTGATGTCCCCCTTCGACCAGTCGGGTTTGGGGGCTGAAGAAAGCCTAGGTCTCTTAGATGACTACCTGGAGGTGGCCAAGCACTTCAAACCTCATGGGTTCTCCAGCGACAAGGCTAAGGCGGGCTCCTCCGAATGGCTGGCTGTGGATGGGTTGGTCAGTCCCTCCAACAACGGCAAGGGTGAGTGGGCCGCCACCACATCGTCTGGGTGGGATCTGGGGTTAGGGGCCTGCTACCTTTGTATCTGACTCACTTGGCCCTGTCGTTCAAATCTTTTGCAGAGGATGCCTTCTCCGGGACAGATTGGATGTTGGAGAAAATGGATTTGAAGGAGTTCGACTTTGATGCCCTGTTGGGTATAGATGACCTGGAAACCATGCCAGATGACCTTTTGACCACGTTGGATGACACGTGTGATCTCTTTGCCCCCCTAGTCCAGGAGACTAACAAGGAGCCCCCCCAGACGGTGAACCCAATTGGCCATCTCCCAGAAAGTTTAACAAAACCCGACCAGGTTGCCCCCTTCACCTTCTTGCAACCTCTTCCCCTTTCCCCAGGGGTCCTGTCCTCCACTCCAGATCATTCCTTTAGTTTAGAGCTGGGCAGTGAAGTGGATATCACTGAAGGAGATAGGAAGCCAGACTCCACTGCTTATGTTGCCATGATCCCTCCGTGCATAAAGGAGGAAGACACCCCCTCAGATAATGATAGTGGCATCTGTATGAGCCCGGAGTCCTATCTGGGCTCTCCTCAGCATAGCCCGTCTACCAGGGGCTCTCCAAATAGGAGCCTCCCATCTCCAGGTGTTCTCTGTGGCTCTGCCCGCCCCAAACCTTACGACCCTCCTGGAGAGAAGATGGTAGAAGCAAAAGTAAAGGGTGAGAAACTGGATAAGAAGCTGAAAAAAATGGAGCAAAACAAGACAGCAGCCACTAGGTACCGCCAGAAGAAGAGGGCAGAGCAGGAGGCCCTCACTGGCGAGTGCAAAGAGCTGGAAAAGAAGAATGAGGCTTTGAAAGAGAGGGCGGATTCCCTGGCCAAGGAGATCCAGTACCTGAAAGATTTGATAGAAGAGGTCCGCAAGGCAAGGGGGAAGAAAAGGGTCCCCTAGTTGAGGGTAGTCAGGAGCGTCAGTGTGCTTGTACATAGAGTCTCTGCTGTTGCTGTGTGTTGGAATAAATTATTTTGTAGGGAAAGTACTTGTGTGAATTCCTTTTCTGGCAAAGTAGCCGAGTGAGGCGCCACCCACCCATCCCAAACTGGTCATAACATTCCTTGTGAGATCTGGGGAGGAGGGCCAGTCCAGGACTGAAGATGGGTGCCCAGAGTGGGATCTGCTCGCCCTGCTAGGTGTAAGCCACGATGCCTGATGACTCATGGGGCCATACAGCTGGATAGTTGGCCAACTGTAGCAAGTTGGGTCCTTTACCCGAAGCTGAGTTCGCTGGTTGTGTAGGGAGGAGGCTGGAGCTCTTTGGGAGGTTGGGAGGGAGGGACAGCCTGGGCCTCCACCTATTTATTCAAGAGGGCTTCATGCCAACAGCTGTCGCCTGTTTTAAACCCTGGATAAGCTTGCACAGTCCTTGAGATAAGCACACAAGATTAGGTTTCACTTGTTAGCCGGAGTTCTGTAGAAGCGTCTTCCTGAAGAAAGAAATGGCTCCTTTTCGGAATTGATGCTGAAGCAGGACGGGCTGAGGGCCTCCGTTTCTCCTTACGGGGTGGAAGGATGACATCCTGCACAGGTTCTGGCTAGAGCTGGGCACAAAGGCGACAGTTCCTGTTGCTACCTAAACTAGAAGGCCTGGCGTCACGCTAGGATGGATCAGCACTTAGAAACCACGCCTCCTCACCACAGCTTCGGACTTCCTGGCGGGGCGACTTCGCCTTTCCAGGCAGGCGATGTCTTTTGTGTTGCGGATGAGTGCTTGAGTGCAAGGATCAGCGCATCCTGGGTAGGTCTGTCTTTCCTCTTGTGTCCTTCAGGATCACAGTTTTCCTTCTGTGGAAGGTGGTGTAGACTGGGTGTGCCCGGGGAATGGCTGGGAGGACAGTGAGGGTGAGTGCGCCCAGGCACTGCTGTAACTGAGCACAGCACGTGTGTTCACCCGTCCCTGAAGCACACCCAGGAGGCAGACGCCACACCCAGGAGGATTTTTTTTTTTTTTTTTTTTTGAGACAGGGTCTCTTCCCGTTGCCCAGGCTAGAGTGCAATGGTGCGATCTCGGCTCACCACAACCTCCACCTCCTGGATTCAAACGATTCTCATGCCTCAGCCTCCCCAGTAGCTGGGATTACAGGTGCTTGCCACCATGCCCAGCTAATTTTTGTATTTTTGATAGAGACGGGGTTTCACCATGTTGGCCAGGCTAGTCTCGAACTCCTGACTTCCTGATCCACCTACCTTGGCCTCCCCAAAGTGCTAGGATTACAAGCATGAGCCACCGCGCCTGGCCTTTTTTTTTTTTTTTTTTCTTTTTCTTTTTAGAGATGGAGCCTATTACCCAGGCTGGAGTGCAGTGGTGCAATCTTGGCTCACTGCAACCCCTGCCTCCCAGTTTCAAGCGATTCTCCTGCCTCAGCCTCCCGAGTAGCTGGCATTACAGACGACCGCCACTATGCCCAACTAATTTTTGTATTTTCAGTGGGGATGGGGTTTGTCATGTTGGCTAGGCTGGTCTCGAACTCCTGACCTCAGGTGATCCGCCCGTCTCGGCCTCTTAAAGTGCTGGGATTACAGGCGTAACCCACCATGCCCAGCTCACCCAGGAGGATTTTGAGCAAAGAGGTAGAGCTGGAATTTGAACTCAGGACTCGGGCTCCAGTCTGGGCTCTTCATTTTGCCTCTTGAGCTGGAAGGAAACAAATGGCCCGTAATGACCTGCATGGTGGAGCCCACATGACCTTTCCGGTGCCCAGTATAGACGATCACCTGAGAGCCAACTGTTGATGGAATGCATGCAACTGCTTGTGGAGAAGTTGCCCGAGGCACCACTGGAAGTGGGCATCACACATGGGTCTTGGACCTGGTGCTCTTCGAGGTCTTTCCTGCTGAGATTCTAGAATTCTCCAAAGGCCATGGGCCTCCATCCACATCCAGGTACTAAATAGGCGTTAGGGTGCGGCCAACAGCATCAGAGTCATCTAGTGCCAGTGGGGGTTGGCCCTCATTTGGCAGACGAGAAACTGAGGCACCAAGAAGGGCAGTGCAGGCTAGTGGTGTGGACCCAGGATGCTGGGGCTGTGTCCTTTCCAGGCCCCTGCAGCTAAGGCCTCCCACACCCAGAAGGCACCAGCTCAGGTCACAGTGGCTTTGCCCTTCTCCTTGACCTCACCTTCTCCCCTCACTGTGCTCCCGGCCTTTCTCCATCTGTCTGCCAAGCTTGGTCCTGCCTCAGAGCCTCACACTTGCTGTTTTTTTTTGTAACTTTTTTCTCCATTGAGTTTATCTGTATACAGATTCACTTTCTGTTCTCCATTCCCTAACTACAATATAAGGTCACTCTATGGCAGCAGGTATTTTGCTATCTTACTCATTCCGGTACTTCCAGGACTAGAGCAGTGCCTGGTAAATAGCAAAAATGACTGCGGCGAAAACGTTCAAAGAGCTCTGATGCTCTAGGCGCCTTCCAGTGATGAGCTCAGAGTCCTCCTGAGGCTGTGAGGAGGGTCTTATGACTGCACCCCTCTTACTGATGCAGCTGAGACCCAGACTTAGACACCTCCTTGGGAAGTCTGGCCTGGGGGTGGACACTGGCCCATGGGCAGTTGGTATAGGCAGTGATAATGACCTGGACAAACCAGCTGGATTTGGCTAGGCAGATGTTTGTTCCGGAGAGCCAGCGCAATAAGGGGTATGGGAGGAATGGGTGGAGATGAGGCTGATGTCCAGCCACCACCCTGCATGTGGCAACTTATGGCCCCTGCCAGGCCTTGGCCAGCCCAGCCTAGGTGACCAGGTCAGAGGTGGAGCTGGGCTTTACCCAGTGACCAGGGGCTGGGGGCTGGGGGATAGGAAGGGACCTCACAGGCAGGAGCGGACAACTCTCAGCATTTTCTCCTGCTTTGTGTCTAGGACAAGGCTGTAGGTTGTGGAGAGCAGAGAACGACCTTCATCTTTTATACAACTAGTCCTGAGTGGGTGCCCACTCTGCACTACACTGGGTGCTGGCTACAGCAGTGAGCCAAGTAAACATCCCTGCCCTCATGGAGGTTTGCTTGTGGTAAAGGAGACAGATGGACCCTAAAAAGAAAAAGGTGTGACGTGTCACATTCAGATGTAACACAGCAGCTGCGTCAGGCATGGACATGCTGGGCATGCTCCTTAAGATGGGTGCTCAGGGAGTCACAGGGCTCAGCCCGGCAGGGGACTGGGCTGGAATCAGCAAGGAGAGGCAGCCAAGATGTGGGTGTGAAGAGAGGCGATCCCCCCAAGCAAGAGAAAGGATGGAGGGCCCGTTTCCTGAGATCGGGAAAACCAGGGGAAGAGCATGATTTTATTTCAAAGAGGCCAGGTAGAAATAAAAAGTTCCTGGCTTTGGGAGGTCGAGGCGGGTGGATCACGAGGTCAGGAGTTCAAGACCAGCCTGGCCAATATGGTGAAACCCCATCTCTACTAAAAAATTAGCAGGGTGAGGCTGGGCACGGGGGCTCATGCCTGTAATCCCAGCACTTTGAGAGGCCGAGGCGGGTGGATCAGGAGGTCAGGAGATCGAGACCATCCTGGCTAACATGGTGAAACCCCATCTCTACTAAAAATACAAAAAATTAGCCGGGCATGGTGGCGGGCACCTATAGTCCTAGCTACTTGGGAGGCTGAGGCAGGAGAATGGCATGAACCTGGGAGGCGGAGGATGCAGTGAGCCGAGATCGCGCCACTGCACTCCAGCCTGGGTGGCAGAGCAAGACTCCGTCTCAAAAAAATATAAAATAAAAAATAAAAATTAGCTGGGCGTGGCGGCACATGCCTGTAATCCCAGCTACTTGGGAAGCTGAGGCAGGAGAATCGCTTGAACCGGGGAGGCGGAGGTTTCAGTGAGCAGTGCCAGTGCACTCTAGCATGGGTGACAAAGTGAGGCTGCATCTCAAAAAAAAAAAAAAAGTCCCCTCAGTGACACCCAAGTGCCAACCACCCTTGCCTAGGTGGCCCATGGGGTGGGGGTGGGGGCTCTCAGCCTAGTTGGGGGACTGAAGGTGGACACTTAGACCAAGTAGAAAGTGGCAGCTTCAAGAGACAGAGCAGGGCCTCCCAGCTGGGCTTTGAAGGGTGGGGAGAGTTGTGGACAGAGAATGGGAACAACACCCCATGAAAGTCAGCCAGGCAGGAAAGAACGGGGCACACACCAAGTGCCACAGTCCCACTGCCTGTGGCGGAGGCCTTTGCCTAAGCTCTGAGCCTGCAGCTGGGCCCCAGCAGAGTCCCATGTTGCAGTCCTGATCCACTCCTGCCTGGCCCCCTTGGCCAACTCCTCTAGTAGCAAAGAAGGTCAGAGAGTGTGGGGGCTTCAGCAGCCCATCCCACTGTGGAAGACACAGGAAGCCATGGCTGGGGCCCTCCTGTAGGGCATGGGGTAGGTTCCTCAAACTCTGTTTCCCCAAACCACCTGTGACGCAAATGCTTCCGGTGCTTTCACACCCATCCATGCTGTCTAGACTGGGGAAGGCCTCCTGCTTTCTCCTGTCAGCCCTGGGTTGAAGTGACAACTCAGTTTCCTCTTTTTTTGAGACAGGGTCTTGCTGTCGCCCAGGCTGAGGTGTAGTAACGCCATCTTGGCTCACTGCAGCCTCCACCTCTCGGGCTCCAGTGATCCTCCCACCCCAGCCCTCTTCCCCGCAAGCAGTTGGGACCACGAGTGCACACCACCATGCCCGGCTAATTATTGTATTTTTTTGTAGAGATGGGTTTTGCCATGTTGGCCAGGCTGGTTTTGAACCCCTGACCTCAGGTGATCCACCTGCCTCAGCCTTCCACAGTGCTGGGATTACATGTGTGAGCCACCGCATCTGGCCTCAGTGTCCTCTTATTTGGGTCCTGTTGGTCACCAGGTCCTGGCCATCGTGGTCAGCACCTCCTTGGCCCTCCATGGGGACAAACCCTCTCTCCTCCAGTGCTGCCCCAGTCACCCCAGCTCCCTGCTGCCTTCCAGACACCTGCACCAGAACTGCTCAGGGTGACAGTTAAAAGGCAGACTCCTCAGTCCTGTCCTTGACCCACTGGACCAGAGTGCCAGCGGTAAACACAAATGACTGTCACCCAGAGGGGGCATGGACAGGCACCCAATAGTGCTACTTGGCATAAGTGTAAGATTTATTGGGAAGCTCGCAAGCGGGGAAGCAGCAGGACCCCGGCTCCCATCCTCACCGGGGGGCAGTGCCTGTCACGCTGCACTTCTGGGCGATTATGTAACAGTGGGCGTGTCCTTGATAGAAAAGGGCCCCGTGCCTATGGTCAGCCTGTTCTTCCAGGCGCTAGAGGCTGAATTGGCTTCTTGTTAAGCTGCTTAAAAGATTAAGGGCACGAGTCTCCATGGATATCCGAGTTTCTCTGCCCAGTGGGGTCATTACAGTCCAGCAGGCAGGAAGAGGCCCTGGTCTCTAAGGTTTGGGGTCACAGCACACTCCCTCCCCCTCCCCCTGCTGATGGAGGTCACCCGGAGACAGGACCACTGCCGGGAAGATGTGTGGCCACATCATGTCTTTATTTAGGATGGAATAGCAGTTAAAGATCAGGAACAGACCACCCACGGCAGTGGGGGAACAAATGCTCTTACAAATAATGGGCCCTGAGGCAGTGTCATCAGGGAACCCGGGGAGCCAGATCGTCACTCCCAATCAGACCCAGCCTCAGGGGACTATGCCATGCTCTCTACCAGCAGCAATGGGAGTCACCACACCAAAGGAGCCCTTAGGCTGGGGTGGGGAGGGAAGAGTTCAGGAGACAAACGGAGCTGCCAGAAAGCCTCCCAGGTCCCTTCCCCGGAGGCTCCCTGATGAATGGACTCCTGCGCTGACTTCTCAGCTCTCCTCCACTGGCCCCACCTCTGGTCTTCACTCACACAGTCATTCAGTACCTGCCTGTCCTTCACCTCCTGATCCCAACCCATGCCTGCTGGAAGGGTCCCGTCTGCCTCCCCTCACCTCCATTCTTCAGCTCAGGCACACGCCTGAGTGCGAAACTGTTTCTTCAGGTTACCTCCTGAGTCCCTTCTACTGTCCCCTCCCCACTACGACAGGCATTTGACCCCACCTGGCTGCACACTAGCGCCTGAGCGGGAAAGGGAACACACCTGGTGAAACGCTCTGCTCATGGCGGACTCCACGCTCCCTGGGTGTGGGCTGAAGCAGCACCACTCCCACTGCCAGATCTAGCCACCTGCACCAGAACTCCTCTCAGCAGCTGTTTTTTGCCTCGAGTCACCTTTTCAGCTGTGGCGGCCACCCCCAGAGGAAGGAGGCTCCCCTGGTGTAGGGCAGCAGAGGTTGGTGTTCTGATGGCGGCCTGCCAGGGCTGGACTGGAGAACTTGTGACCCGGAGCTGAGAAGCACGCTGGGAGATGGGGGAAGGCAGGGTGGCGCTTTGGTGCCACAGGAGATGGGAGACACCCCGTGGGGCAGATCAGCAGCACACACAGCTCCTGGGTTCGCATTTATTACAACTTGGAAGCCCACCCTTCTTCCTACTCCAGGAGGTGTCGTCCCCGAGGGCTCAGGAACCACAGCAAACAGCCCAGAGGCCCCACCTGGGCGAAAGCAAACAAAACAGATACATTCCTTTCTGGCAGGTGCAGACGCTCTGCCCAGGCCTGCGAAAGCCACCTCGAGTCTGTGTGTATATCCTCCCAGGACTTCCGGCCCACCAGCTCCATTCCAGCCACCACACGGCTCCAGCTCCATGGCTTCCTGGAGCCAGGCTGGTCCTGCATCGCCATCTGCTGGCCGCGCGGCACGGCCGGGTCCTGGGGCCAGCAGAGGAGTCGGAGGGAGGCGGCCGGATTGAAAGCCTCTTCACCGTGCCCTCCAGGGAGCCTAGCTGCCGAAGTATTCCTGCTGGAACTTCTGGAAGTCTTCCTCGGTGAATACGGTGCCCTCGGCCTTCTTCTTCTTCTTGGTCTTGGCCACAGGCCGGTCACAAGCCTTGCGACCGCGGTTCTGGCGCAAAATCTGGGGAGGGTGCGGGACTTCTGCTCATTTCAAGAGCAGAGGAGGCCCGCAAAGGTCACGGGGGAGTTCGGCGCAGGGCAGGGCTGGCCCAGCCTCCCACCCTGTGCTCAGGGCTGAGACTGCCATGGGTCCTAGGGGAACAGCCTCGGCTCTCACCTCCCAGGTCCCTTCCCATAGTCCCCTCAACAAACCTGCTGGCTCACAGACTCAGCCACGCTGCTTCTCGTCCTGGTCAGAAACTTCAGGTTTACTCTGAGGTGGTCTCGACACTCTCGCTTCCGGTACTCGTCTGTGGGTGGCAGGCAGGGGGCACCATTTCACGTTCACTCCCCTTGGAAGCATTCTCGGTCCCTGGCCCATGGCCCTGCCAAAGACCTCATGGTCCCCTTCCCAGATTATTATAGCAGCTGGGCTCTTCTCCATCAAATGCATTCTCCACACAGGTCCTGCTGAAAGCCCCAGGCTCTGGGCGCCACCATTTTCCAACAATTATGTCCTGAATACTACTCACCAAGGGAGCGCTCTGGAACTTACGCTTCAGTGAGAGATGAAGGACAAACGACCCAGTATTTTAGAAGTGCATATATTTCATGGAGGAAAATAAAATAGGAAACAGAAAAGGGGAATTCCAAGGGTGGAGGGTGCAATTTTAAATAGGAGGGAATGAGAAGGTCTCACTGAAATGACTTGGAGAGAGCTGTGGATATCCAGGGGGAGAGTATTTGTCTAGGTAGAGGAACACCCAGTGCAAAGGCCCTGAAGCAGAAATGTGTCAATTGTGTTTGTAAAACACAAAACAGCTGGAGTGGCTGGGTGCGGTGGCTCACACCTGTAATCTCAGCACTTTGGGAGGGTGAGGTAGGCAGGTCACCTGAGGTCAGGAGTTTGAGACCAGCTTGGCCAACATGGTGAAACCCCGTCTGTATTAAAAATAAAAAAAACTAGCTGGGTGTGGTGGTGGGTGCCTGTAATCCCAGCTACTCGGGAGGCTGAGGCAGGCGCATCGCTTGAACTCAGGAGGCAAGAGGTTGCAGTGAGATGAGACCGCACCACTGCACTCCAGCCTGGGTGACAAAGCAAGACTCTGTCACAAAAAAACCCAAAAACAACAACAAAAAAACAGCTGGAGTGGGGGGAGTGGGTAGCAGGAAGAGACCAAGTTTGGTGGGGGGGTGGTAGGTCATGTAGGCCTCGTCAGGCACCCTAAGACCCCTACCTTTTACTGACTACAATGGGAGCCACCCAGAGGAGAAACAAGGAATGACTTCTGATTTTAGAGGATCACTTTGGTTGCTGTTGAGAACAAGATTACTGGGGGAGGGGGCGTGTGGAAGGCAGGAGACCGGCTAGGCTTCTGCAATAATCCAGGCAAGAGACAAAAGAAGCTTGGAGCAAGGTGGAGGCTGCAGAGGTGTTCTTTCCATTGGCTGCGAGGCTTGCCATTCCTCTCACTCAACATCTATGTGCCAAAACCTGTGCTGGACACCAGGGCTGCAGACAAGCCCAAGGGGGTGTGTGCCTTTAGGAGCTCCCATCTAACAGGGGAGGTGGGTGAGCACCCAGGACAGGACGGTGAGACAAGGGCTGGGACAGATAGGAATGACCTCTGGCACTCCACACTCCTGCTTCATGGCAAGTATTGCTGGGCCTCAAACCTGTCTTGTATTTCCTCCTTGGAATTCATAATTCTTTTAACAAATACCTTAACATATTTATGCATCAGACTCTAGGGATTCAGACACAGTAGGAGCTTGTCACGTCCTGACACGTCAAAATATCACCATCTTGCCCACACCAGCCCCTCCGAAAGTCTTTATGTCTGTTAAGTGACACCACATCTCCCAATAAACTAGGCTCCACCTTCACAGCCAGTTCACCACTAAAACCCCTCTAAAGGCTGAAATTCTCTGCTGCCCCCTCTTTAACGTATCTTCCACCTGCAAAATTCTCTTATCTCTGCTGCTATGGCCACACTGCCCAGGCCACAGCATGTCCCATTTGAATGGAGTGGGTAATAGCAGCACTCTGGGACACAGTGCCTGGTTTCTACCCGTACCACCTGGGCAGGTGCCTTTTTCTGAATCTGTAAAACGGGGGTGATAGTAGTATCGACCTCAAAGGGCTGCTGTAAGGATCAAACGAGCTGACATTTGCACAGCACTTAGAATCAGCACCTGGCACAGAGTGTTAGTGAATGTGTTTAAATGCTCCATCTTTGATCCTTATTCACTAGGTCACCTTTACTAGCCTCTATTTTTTCAGATTCTCAAAGGCAACAACCTCCTTTCTAACTCAGGACCTTTGCACATGCTATTCTTCCTAGAATATTTTCCTACTTTTCACCTTGCTCACTCTTATACCTCCTTCAGCTCTCGGCTGAAATGTCGCTTCCTCAGAGAAGGCTGACGTGGCCCAAGTCCCCATCAGAGTACCGTAATCTTTTAATTCATAGGCTTCAATGCACTTAGCAATGATACACTGGGTTTGATATTCTTTGATGCTTCTCTCCCCACTAGGGCCGTAGTCCATGAGGGCCAGGACGGTGGCGTGTTCTGTCACCTTCGTATGTCCAGGAGCCCGCTCCGCGCCCGGCACACAGTAGGTCTAGCCATACCAGGCGGATGCTTCAAGCCCTGCCTCAAGCGCCACCTCCTCTGGGGCGCAGGTCCCAGTACCGGAGGCAGCGCTTTCAGCCCCTTCCCGAACTTACCCAGTGCCGACTTGGGCACCTTTCCCTTGGCCGAGTTCCGCAGTTTCTGGGCCTGAATTGCCTTCGTCTTCTGGGGCCGTTTCACCGGAGCCCCTTTCGGCTTGGTCTGACCTGGAGGGTCCCGGGGGGCTACAGGGGAAGAGAGAAGAAGGGACCCAGGTCGGAGGGCGCGCAGTGTTCCCGTGCCACTGGGGCTAAACCCGGCCTGGATTGTTTTCCATCCACGGCTCCCGCCCGCAGCCACTGCCATCCTCCTGCCCGCGCCGGACGTCCCCCGGCCAGCCCTCCTCACCCTCGGACGCCGCCAGCAGCTCCAAGCCCCGCCGCAGCAGGGCCGCGGACATGGCTGCGCTTGGCACCGCCCACGAGCCTCACACTACTTGCAACCTGGCAGTCCTAGCCGTCTCGGCGGAAATCCGAGCCGGAACACAGGGTTCTGAAGGGGATGGGCGGAAGTGCCCATCTTTCTTAGGACGCATGCGTTAGAGGTTTATACTTGAGCGGAAGAAGGGGAGGAAACTGGAGGCGGGTTTAAGGCGCAGAAGGACATATTTGTTATTCAATCCCGATCCACCTGGGGCCTGGCGCTCAGGCCCCTCCTTCCCCGGAAGCCGTCTGCAACCAGCTCCGCCGGGTTGGCCAATCCTCTCCGGTCTCGCGGCTCCGTGGCGGGCTAGGCTGGGGACGGGGCGGAGTGTTTTTCGTATACTTAAACCAGCGCAAGATATCGCGCAGGTTGAGTGCAGTATGAAAATCCAGCTGTCTTCCCGTAAGCCAGACATTAAAGACATATTTTTGTTTTGAAAAATACAATTATTTCTCAAAATATGTTGATGTTACAAAGCAATGGGTTTATTATTTTAAGTGAATTGATGAATATGTAAATTTTTTCTGTTTTAGTTTCTAGTATGGCAAATATCAATTGCCTACATACAAAAGTTCTTTGGAATCCTGAATTTTTAAAATTTATTTATTTAATTAAATTAATTTTTTTTGAGACGGTATCTCGCTCTGTCGCCCAGGCTGGAGTGCAGTGCCGGCTCACTGCAACTTCCGCCTCCCGGGTTCAAGCGCTTCTTTTGTTTGTTTGTTTTTTCAAGCGCTTCTTTTGCCTTAGCCTCCCGAGTAACCGAGATTACAGGCACCCGCCACCACGCCCGGCTAATTTTCTTTTTAAAAAATTTTTAGTAGAGATGGGGTTTCGCCATGTTGGCCAGGCAGGTCTTGAACTCTTGACCTCAAGTGATCCGCCCACCTCGGCCTCCCAAAGTGCTGGGATTACAGGCGTGAGGGGATTCTGAAGTTTTAAATGTAAGAAGCTTCTTAGACCAAAACGTTTGAGCCCCTCTGGCCTAGAAGTGACACTGCTTACCTGGGGGAGGAGCCCTGGCTTGTTCGCTGTTCCATCTGCAGCTGGCCGTCCAGCACCTGGCATGCAGAAGACACGCAATAAGTGAACGGTGAATCAGAAGGGACCACTGGGTTCACTCAGCCGGGTTCTGAGGGCCTTCTGTGTACCTGACAGCACAGAGTGTGGGACCTGGAGTTGGTCCTCCGGGATAGACCACACCGTCTAAGCCCCATCAGCTAGATAGTAATAATACCAACCAACACAATCAAGGGTCAAGGCCCTGTTCTGCGTGCTTTGCATTTGTTAACTCGTTTATCCCCCCTACCCTTCCAGGTTGGAATTGTCTTTTGCATTTTACAGACGAGGAAACAAGCACAGAGAGGCCAGGGTCACACGGTGGAGTCAGAGGTGGGATTCAAGACTGGCAGCCTGGCCGCAGGATTTGTGGGGGCGCTCCTGCCACAGCCACCAGGGCGAGCAGTGCTGTGGCGCTGGGTGGGGCCTGTCAAGCCATGGGGTCAGGTAGGCCCCTGGAGGGTGAGGAGGAGCTGACCATGTATGGGCAGCGGGGATTGGTCCAGGCGGAGACCGCTGTAGCGAGGACCTATCCCCTGTGACACACGAGTGGCCCCTCAGGATGCCATGCTGGGCTGGAGGGTCGCAAAGGCCTCAGACTCCATGATTTTGTCCTAAGGGGAGTGGGGGGCCTGGAGCCCAGTGATTGTTCAGACATACGCCTCCTTCCTGCTTCTAATACAGCCGGATTGTTGTCTTATTATGTGTATCGAGTATTGTCTATTTCCCCACCCATACCCCGCTGTAAGCTCCTCAAGGCAGTGATCTTTGTTTTGTTCACTGTTATATTCCTAGCGCCTGGAACAGTGCTTGGCATACGGTAAGAGTTCCAGAAACGCACGAAATGAGTGGATGAGAGCTGAGTTTGGGGCGCCAGTGAGCCGCTGGGTTGAGAGGCCCAGAAGGTCGTGGGATGTGCAGCGAGTCAGTCTCTCAGGCGGGCAAAGGACCAAGCTTTGTCCTCCTCCCAATCTGGGCTGATCAGCCCACGGTCCCCCGGGTGGAGTTCTCTGTGTGCCAACGTGCTGGGCAGACCCCTGCGGCGTCCGCAGCCCAGCCGGGCACGGGCAGGACGGCAGGCTAGGCGCTGAAACAGCCTCCCGCGGAGGAATCGGCACATCCGCGGGCCCGGGCGCATTTCTGCCACTAGGTGGCAACGCAGGACAGCTTTCTCGCGCGGCGCGACTACAAGGCCTCAGTTGCGGCTACCCAGGCTAGGTGGGGGTGGGGGTGTAGAGTGGGAGTCCGGACGTCATTTCTGCCTCGGCTGGCTCCTTGCAGCCAGCACTGTGTGGCCCCGGCTTCTTGCTGTACCGCACCCCACTCGCAGCCTGGCCTGGAGGAGTGGCTGGGGAAGCTAAGGCAGAGCCACCAGCCTGGGCTGCCCAGGGCGGGAGGCGAGGTCCTTTCTTGAAAACTGTGCAAATGACAGCTGGGGGCTGTGTGACCCCAGCAATCCCTTAACAAAGAGTGCTTCAGTTTCCTTATCGGTTGAATGGGGCTCGGCGGGGCAGCAGCCCCTTTCTAGGAGAGGTGTGAGAACCGGTGGATCAATACCGTGCCGTGTAGGGCAGGTCTGGGTGGGTCTGCGCCCAGGGACTGCGTGCAGAGGGTGCTACAGCGCTGCCATGCTACCTGCTCCCTCTGGGCAAGACGGGATGGGCAGGGGCAGCCACTGTTGGGCCCAAGCAGGTCACGCCACAGCCCGAATTTGGGCACCTGCGACCTGCCAGTCTTGACATTGGCCCTGATGGGTCAAGCTCAGGGGGACAGCTGCTTCCTGTCTCCCTGTGGGAGGATAGGTCATGAGATCTCCCAGGCTAGTTCCCCGCCTGGCATGACCCTGGGTGAGCGGCTTCACTGCTCTGAGCCTGTTTCCACACTGGGTCCCTGCCTGTCCCTGATCCTCCCACTGGGGCCTTTGGCCACATAGAGGAAAATCACTGTAAGGGGCCCTTCGGCCCCCATGCCCTGTTTATGTCTCCTCCCAGGCTCCCTGGAACAGCTTAACTTCCCTGGGCCTGGGAGGCTGAGAGGCAAGTGAGCTTCCTGTAGAGCTGTGCAGCCCTTTAAGAGCAAGAGTCAGGACTCAAGCCCCAGTCTCCGGGTCCTAAGCAAGAGTATGTGTGTGAGCGTGTTCCCTCAGCTTCCAGACCAGTGGCCCCCTGGAGAGGGGACCGTAGGGACTCTGGGAGGTGGGCAGTGCTGGAGAGGGTGTTCTGGTGGTCTGGGGCTGGCACAGATGCCCCGGTTTCCACAAGGCCTCGGCTCACACAGCTGTGTGCCCACAGGCAAGCTGCCCTCCTCCCCTAGCCTGTTTCCTCCTCGGAGGTTTGGGGGCTTTAGAGAGTATTGTCCAGTCCTCCACACAGGGCTGAGGTGGGAGGCGCCCGGGGCTGTGGGCTCCTGTGGTCTGAAGGGAGCGCCTGCTCTGGAACCAGGCTGTACATCCTGGCTTTTCCACTCACTAGCTGTGTGACTTTGGGCAAGTCCCACAACCTCTCTGTGCCTCAGTTTCTTCGTTTATGAGTTGATTATGATAATAATCCCTACCTCATAGGGCTCCTGTGAGGATCGAGTGTCAAGCGTTTGGAATTCCGTTGGACGCAGAATAAGCACTCTAATTTGTAAATCAGTGATTGCTCTGTGGACCGCAGTGTGCCGGTGGGACCTGGGCCCCTGTCTGTGGATGTGACCTGCACTTGTATGTGGCTGCTGGATTTCCACGCTCTTGTGCTCACACACGGGTAGGTTGGAGGCCACAGGGAGTAACACCTGACAGCTTGGAGTCATTGGTCCCCGTTCAGACGCCACCTTTGCCGCTTAGCAGCCGTGTGACCTGGGAGCCTACCTCACCTCTCTGAGCTTCGAGGGGGTGCTTGGGGTCTGTTGGAGGTGTAGTGAGGTGGCATGAAATGTGCTCAGCACCAGGCCTGGCATTTAATCATCTGTGCCATCAATAAATATCTGCTGATACCACTGATGGAGCAGCCAATAGGAGAAAAGCCAGCCAGCATTTGCTGAGCGTGAACCAGAAGCCACTCCACCTGCAGGAGGTGGGCATTTGGGGTGAATAAAGGGCTCCGCTGGGCCTGGTGGTGCCCACATGCTCATGTTACACTGTCAGCAAGTGTAAGTCTCTGTCGTCCAGGGTCTGTAGGGTTCAGGGTGGTACCCACCAGCCCCAGGGACAGCAGCCCCCTCAGGGCGTTCAGGCAGAGGCAAAGTGGCTTCTTTCCAATGATGTGAAAGGTGAAATAGTGGCATGCCTGATTTTAAGGGTGTAATGAACACACAGAAAGAGTTACTGGAAATTCTCCGTGGCGATCTGGGGTCAGACAGCAACCCCCAGGTGGGGGTCCAAGGTGGGGTCTTTTAATGTCTCTACCCTGACCAGCCAAAGATGCAGCTCTGCCATTAAGCTGTTGTGTGATCTTTTTTTTTTTTTTTTGAGAGCGAGTCTCGCTCTGTCCCCCAGGCTGTAGTGCAGTGGCGTGATCTTGGCTCACTACAACCTCCGTCTTCTGGGTTTAAGCGATTCTTCTGCCTCAGCCTGCTGAGTAGCTGGGATTACAGGTGCCTGCCAGCATGCCTGGCTAATTTTTGGATTTGCAGTAGAGACAGGGTTTCACCATGTTGGCTGGGCTGGTCTCGAACTCCTGACCTTAGGTGATCTGCCTGCCTTGGCCTCCCAAAGTGCTGTGATTACAGGCGTGAGCCACTGGGCCCAGCTTGCTGTGTGATCTTGGGCACATCCCTCCCAGTCCCTGGAAAAAGATGGGGCGGAGTGCCCAGTCCTGCCAGGTCCCCAGGGCCATGAGATGTTAAGAGGTTACAGGGAGAGGAAGGGGTGAGCTTGGAAGACTCAGGGGAGAACTTGGGGGCCCCTTAGCAAACAAGCACCCCTCCCTCAAGCCAACTTGTACCTGAAGACTTACCGGTAGGTTGGGGTCAGATGGGAGGTCCTTAGGCAAAGCGGATGGCACCTGGCTCTGGGAACTTGACCTCATTGTAAGATCTAGAATAAGT